GTAGTTGGAAGAAGACAACACTATTCCACTTTATCATGTTGTTTAGTAATAGTGCAAAATGACAGTAAAATGACAGCACATAATGACAGCATAATATGTCACTCGAATAATAGTGCTTAGTGCTATATGATGCTGTCAGGTAATAGTGCCAGGCAGAAAAGATTTTAAGTTCACCCTGACACCCCAGTGCTGACGCTGCTAATATTAAGATCTATCGCTGAAGGGAGACACCAAGATGACGGTGATACTCTGGGGGAAGTGTCAGCGTTAGGAGGTGAGGTGATGGAGTGAGTGAGAGAACCAGAGGGCTTTAAGGGCGAGTCGAGAGGGTAGACGGCTTTCCTCACCGCCCTGCTATACTCTTACCACGATCCCTGTCATACCTCTCAACCACCGTGGCTACCAAAAGCTTTTGGCCTCTCCAACAACACCACAGTCACACATTGTATTTATAGACCCCCCCCCCGCGTCACCTTCACCAACACCTTCAATAACTTGGAATTTCTCGTTAGCGTCACCAACACAAGGTAGGCCTCCCGCGTCAGGTAGGGCCTCCTGCCAGCGTCACCAACACAAGGTAGGCCTCCCGCTAGCGTCACCAACACAAGGTAGGCCTCCCGCTAGCGTCACCAACACAAGGTAGGCCTCCCGCTAGCGTCACTAACACAAGGTAGGCCTCCCGCTAACGTCACCAACTCAAGGTAGGCCTCCCGCTAGCGTCACCAACACAAGGTAGCAGTAATTTCAAACTATATTGGAAATCACCTGGATAAACACAAGTTGATCAATGATTCCCAACATGGCTTCACAAATGGGCGTTCATGTTTGACAAATCAGTTAACATTCTTTTCAACCGTTTTCAAATCAGTGGATGACGGACACGATTATGGTGTAGTTTACCTCGTCTTCAGCAAAGCCTTCGACAGGGTTCCCCATGAAAGACTATTACGTAAAGTGGAGGCTCATGGAATTGAAGGAAATATTCTTAACTGGATTAGGACGTGGTTACAGGAAAGGAAACAGCGGGTGAGCATTAACGGCACTAAATCCGATTGGGGTAACGTCACTAGTGGAGTACCTCAAGGCTCGGTACTTGGACCATTCCTATTAATTATATACATAATCGACATAGATATCGGCGTCGACAGCAACGTATGTAAATTTGCTGATGACACTAAATTAGGACGTGTAATTAAATCTGACGAGGACTCCACAAAACTACAGGAAGATCTAAAAAAAAAAATCGAATGGTCTGAAAAATGGCAGATGAAATTTAATGTGGACAAATGTAAATTACTTAGCCTAGGAGATGTAAACAGAGAAACCAGATATCAGATGAACAACGTTGATATAGTTAAATCTGACAGTGATAAAGATTGTAATGATAAGTAGGAATCTTAAACCAAGTGAACAATGTGTATTTGCTCGAAACAAGGCTAATAAAGTACTTGGGTTCACACGAAGGAGTGTTAGTTACAAGACGAGCGAGGTCATCCTAAAACTATATCTTGCGCTTGTGAGACCTCACTTAGATTACGCAGTTCAATTCTGGTCACCGTACTACAGAATGGATATAGAATCCTTGGAAAGCATACAGAGGAGGATGACAAGACTGATCCCTCGAGAGACGTAGAGTGAGGGGCGGTATGATCGAGGAGTATAAATGAAAGTCAATGGTTAAACAAAGGTGATATAACAAAGGTACTTAAACTATCCAACCAAGAACGAACTCGTAGCAATGGTTTCAAATTAGACAAATTTAGATTTAGGCGCGAGATAGGTAAACATTGGTTTGGAAATAGAGTAGTGGATGAGTGGAACAAGTTACCAAACATCATCATTAACTCGATCGCGCTGGATAGCTTCAACTATAGGTTGGATGGATATATGGGCGATAGGGGTTGGGTGTAAACGGGACTGCCTATTATGGACTAATAGGCCCGCTGCAGTTTCCTCCATTCTTATGTTCTCATCACCGTCACCAACACAAAGTAGGCCTCCTGCTAGCGTCACCAACATCATCACCGTCACCTTTAGGCCTCCCGTCATTACCATCACCGTCACCAGTAGGCCTCCCGTCATTACCATCACCGTCACCAGTAGGCCTCCCGTCATTACCATCACCGTCACCTTTAGGCCTCCCGTCATTACCATCACCAGTAGGCCTCCTGCTAGCGTCACCAACATCATCACCGTCACCTTTAGGCCTCACCCATCACCGTCACCAGTAGGCCTCCCGTCATTACCATCACCGTCACCTGGGCCTCCCGTCATTACCATCACCGTCACCAGTAGGCCTCCCGTCATTACCATCATGTCACCAGTAGGCCGTCATTACCATCATGTCACCAGTAGGCCTCCCGTCATTACCATCACCAGTAGGCCCCGTCATTACCATCACCGTCACCAGTAGGCCTCCCGTCATTACCATCACCGTCACCAGTAGGCCTCCAGTCATTACCATCACCGTCACCAGTAGGCCTCCCGTCATTACCATCACCAGTAGGCCTCCCACTAGCGTCACCAACACCCGTGGAGTTTGATTCACGAGGCCAATATCCTCAAAACTTTTACCATTCTTCTAAAATTCCATCTAGAATTATTTACGAGAGAGGGTAAGGGGGGGAGGGGGGGGGGCTGAGGAGGGAGTACTATGGTGAACAACAACAAAAAGTGATTCCTGTGAAGATGTTTGTGTGTGTGTGTGTGTGTGTGTGTGTATGTATGTTTGTGTTGTGTGTGTGTGTGTATGTATGTTTGTGTTGTGTGTGTGTGTGTGTGTACAGTGAGAGCTCTTGTAGTACAGTAGGTGGTGGAGGCGAGGGAGATAGAGATCGTTCTTGCTCGCCAAACTAACAAGTTCCGGCGAGCAGTCAGTAGCGTCTGGCGTTAGTTCTCTCTACCCTATAATGTAAAACGTTTAAAGGGATGTTATACGCCAGACTAACATTCGCCCGTCTACTGCTTTCATTGGCGCTTTTCATAATAAGAACGTTTTTTGGTGATAGATATTAAGTTCATGGCGAGTAGCTGTGAATGGCGAGTGAGTAAGTGAGTAGGGAGGTGAGTAAATGAGTAGGTGGGTGAGTGAGTGAGTGGCGGACAGTGACAGCGTCTCGGGACAGACTGGGGTGATTTAAAGAACCCTGCCACTTTAATCCATAAAGTGAAGTTGTCCGCCTCAGAGATGAGTTACAGATGGTAATTCACTTCCCGGGGTGAGTCACTAGTGAGTCGTTCCCCGGGGTGAGTCACTAGTGAGTCGTTTCCCGTGGTGAGTCGCTAGTGAGTCGTTCCCTGGGGTGAGTCAATAGTGAGTCGTTCCCCGTGGTGAGTCACTAGTGAGTCGTTCCCTGGGGTGAGTCACTAGTGAGTCGTTCCCCGTGGTGAGTCACTAGTGAGTCGTTCCCCGGGGTGAGTCACGAGTCATAAATCCCTCCCCAGTGTGAGTCACTAGTCATAGATCCCTCCCCGGGGTGAGTCACGAGTCATCGCTCCCTCCCCGGGGTGAGTCACGAGTCATCGCTCCCTCCCCGGGGTGAGTCACGAGTCATCGCTCCCACCCTTGAAGAGTATGCCATAGTCAAGAAGTGTAAGGAATGAATGATGCGAGGTTTACCTAAAGGGAACTCAGGAAGACTTGGGATGGCGTGAGAGGTGGTGACGTGTGTTGTGACGGAGGTGGTGGAACAGAGGGACGTGGAACAGAGGGACGTGGAACAAAGGGACGTGGAACAGAGGGACGTGGAACAGAGGGACGTGGAACAGAGGGACGTGGAACAAAGGGACGTGGAACAGAGGGACGTGGAACAGAGGGACGTGGTGGATTGGGTGGTGTATCTGTGATGGTAGAAGAGTACAAGTTAAGAGATGAATCGCTTGAATATGGAAAAAGGATCAGGAACAAGTGAGGTATTGCTGGTTTAACTCTTTGGCTACGAGGCGTCACTACGAGGGTGTGTCTTTGCTGATAAAAATCCTCCTGCGTTAGCCAAATAAAATATTAAAAGTGGCGTTCCGTAGTGAAGGTGTTAATAAGTCGAATAGCTTTAGATTGTATTTTGTGTAAGTTGTATGTAGGAGTGATGAGCGCTGCCCCACACGTGAGATGGTCATGACTGTTGTAAGGCGTAAGAAGTTTCGCTGGGGTGGAGTAAGAATGAGACTGTAAGAGGAAGCCTTGTTGTTTTAGATGTTCTTTGTAATGCTGGAAATGATCTACTGTACCACCTTACAGGCTACTGGCTCAAGTACGACTAAAATATATTGACATTGGTGGCTGGTATAATGGTGGCGTTATAGAATGAAAACTGAGGCTGGTAATTATCCTACCTACTCAAAATATATGTTCATGGCAGCTGTGGTAGAGGCGATCGACTGGGACACTTGACCAAACATCGACATTAAAGCGGTAGGATATCATTGGTGTACACTAGTAATGGCAGTGAAATTGTTCTGAACCTTAGCTGTCAGTAGATACAGTCTGTTAACCCTAGTTGGGGATAAAATTTAACTCTGCCACCTGTAAATTTCTGAATGATAGAAATAATGTTCCAGAGGAGAGATACTGTAGAGTATTTCTAAATTATAAGTTACGGGAACGATTTCAATTAAATTATTCCACTGTGCGAGTGTAGCTTCTGGCCGAGTGAGTGTAGCGTATATAGTACACTGTTATTACACCACAATAAACTGTTACAGATATTTAAGGTACAATATAACTTGTTAAATGTTTAGCTTTACCATGGTGTGTCGGCCTTGTAGACTTCACTAACAAAGACGTGTTATACATATATTTATCTTATAATTTCTGGTGTGTATTTGGTCATTTTCTATGGTGGACCTCCATTGTACATAATTCATCTCTGATTCCTTGATACTTCCTTCTTAAACATCACCCTCTCACCATGCCCGAGTCACCTCCCTCATGTTCACCCCTCTCCCCACCAGCATCACGGTCAATTTATGTTCTGACTGACACCTCCTTTTCCCTTGGACAGAACGCAGACCCGCCTTGGACGTCATGCCGCCTCACCTCGACGAAGACTTCCCAAACCTCGGGGCCCAGCGCGTCGCCAACCCTGACGTAACGCCCTCCAGGAACCACCTGACAACCTCCACACCTCCGCCCACCACCACCCTTCCACCTAGAAGATGTCAGGCGCTAGATGTGAACCTGTGTGCCAACCTCCACCACAATGTCACTACGTACCCTAACCTACTGGGTCACTCCGACTCTCACACCGTCGAGAGGGATATTATTTCCGTCAGGTGAGTCTCACTACTTCAGGTCTCTTGAGGAACGGGTCACAGTCGTCGAAGGAATGGCTGACTTATGATATTAATGAATTGCTATATAACTGTACACAATATTCATTAACCCCCTCAGTACCGTGCCACCTCCTTGAGTACACTGATTGGAATATCTCAACCCCTTGAGTACAGTAACTTAATCTCTTGAGTATGCTGGGTTAAATGACTTGTTCCTTGAGTGGGATTATATTGTACTCGGGTTATCCTCCTCCTCAAGCGGTTAAATCCTCTTCCCCATGGGTTGAAGTATTTTTCTTATGGGTTAAATCCTCCTCCCGTGGGGTTAAAGATCCATTAAGATGTTTGAATACTTACTTCATAATGGTGTCCGTTCGACTTGTGTGTTTAAGCAAGTTCTCGTCATCCTCCTTACTCTAGGGTCTGACAGGATCATGATTAAGTGTATGTATGGATAAAACTAACACACAAACACACATTGATACAAAGTAAACATACGAAATGTTTCATATTGCAATTAAGTGAAAGAAAATACGACACGAGCACCAGTAATAGTTCCCAGGAGTTAATATCAACATTTACACGACGGGGAATTTGTCTATTAGAATTGAAAAGAAACCTGAACATACCTCTCTCTGACACACACACACACACACACACACACACACACACACACACACACACACACACACACACACACACACACACACACACACACACTTATTTGTAACATTGAAAGTTTTGATGAGCTTGGGAATTCCTAAATGAAGGTTAGTGTGTGTTGCTGATGTCTGAGGATTTTATTAACTATTGTTTTTAGTTGGCCACTATAACTTATTTATATTTACGGTTTGTGTACAGGGACTCCGAGATCTACAGAAAATATGCTGGGGAATGAAGGTTAAACAAAAGTAAAGTAGAGATGTGTTTGTGTAGCCCGCAGCCCCCACTTGTGCTGTACGAGTGTGTAGGTATTACGGTAAAGATGCTCTCACTGGCAGCAACGCTAATGGCACCGGCGGTAAACGTTCACTTTTATTCCACGGTGTTGTTATTTGCTATTCTTTAACAAGGTCTTGATGTTAGACTGTAAGATAAATGTTAAGGACAAGGGCGCCATTACCCTAGCAAGTTTTGGAGTGTTGTTTATAGAATATTTGTTACTTGTATGTACAGTACTGTACTCGTGGTTAGTGGATTCGGTAGTGGAAGTGAGGAAAGAAGACTTCGAATTTACTTTAAAAGCTGTAAGTAGCGCAAGGTCCCCACGCCAACGACAGACGCCTTCAGTCAAGTATATCTGAGATTAACTTGAACGAACCTTTATTTTATGCTAAAATTAAACGTCGTTCATTGATGAAGTTCTTTTTCATACAAAGCAACCAAACCTGATCTATAATGATAATATACGCTACTTCCATCCTAGGTTAGTTCATCCTATTCACGATAAATCAAAATATAATGTATTACGTCGTTACCTCATTATAGAGTCAGTAGAGTCATTGTAAGAGAACAGTCAATAGTTACGAGTATACAGCACATAAGTTGGATGAATATCCTCTTATGTGCGATAGGGGTTGGGTGTAAACGGGACTGCCCAGTATGGGTCAATAGGCCAGCTGCAGTTTCCTCTATTCTTATGTTTATAGCGGGCCCAGAGCTGCTGTTGATGTGCCTTACCATTTTTACCGACCTCCACTATGATTAAAAGCTACAAAGAGCTACGGTTTGATTTGTTGTGAGTATAGGTCTCCTTTGTGAGAGTGGTAGTGACCCTGGCACCTTTCTTGACAGGGAAGTTATCGACTCTGAGTGCCACGCGCTGGCCCAGGAGTTCCTGTGTGAGCTGCTGCAGCCGGACTGCCGCCGCGCCCAGACCATGAACCCCAGCGGCGTGTTCGAGGACCATCTCATTAGCCCCTGCAGGGACTTCTGCGAAGAGGTAATGAGCACGTGTGGTCGCCGCCTCCCCCCACACCTGCGGCTCGCCATTGACTGCAGCAACTTCCCCGTTCTGGACGGTGGCCACGAGTGTACAGCCAAGCCAGGTGAGTCTTCCTTTCAGTCTTGTGTGTTGAGTAGTCCTCCCCCTGACATACAGAGAAGAAACACCAGATAAATTTCCTCAAACTTTATCCCAGCTCCAGGACAAAATCGTACCATAAAAATTAAACTGGACAAAATGACAGCATCAAAATTAGAATATTGACAAAACCCGTCAGTTTTAAGTTGCCTCACTATATGGCCTATAAGATACCTCAGGTTTGGTGCGATTTTGACCTACATCTCCAGTTCCTTGTGTGTGTACATTCTTATACTTGGTCCACTACCTCGCTCTAACTCAGTTCACTCGTCTGCAATATATATCCTCCACTTTCTCTCTTTTGTGATACATGTCCACTTGTAAGTTAAACGATATTGACTCAAAGTTTTATCGATATCTGGTCATAACTCATACTTCTATGGACTAACAAATCGTTTCATTACTTTTTATTTGTAACCAATATTTATTTATCACTCCCCGTACGCAGTTCTTTTCTACAGCTAATCCCTTGATCTCAACTATTCTTTGATAAGTCTAGATAGGTATTTCTCAAGCTTATAAATATATTAAGTAATTATTTATTTGGTAAGTGTGTGGCTGATCCCTGACGTCATTATGGCTCACGCCGTCAACCCAGTATTGTTTCAACCTGTACTTAGTGACGTTAAACTGGCTCATAGACGCACATACAAACGTTACCACACATTAACAACATGTCTATACGGCAGCTGTTGTTAGTATATCCTCTGACAGAAAAGTAATGCGTTGATCAGTTGTTTTCCTGATGTCATGTACCAAGTGGTGCTATAAACACGTGTCGCGGACCACTTAGCGCCTCGCCCCCGGGTACAGTGTGAAGCATAATGGAAGACCGGCAAGATGTGGCCCACCAGAAACCAATAATGACGTGTGAGAGGGGGGGGCGTCAGGAGGAGGGTGATTGCCCCCCCACCCCCCACCCCCGTGTCAACACCACCACCAGATTTCCATCAAATTAGGTAGCCAGAACCTCGCCTAGTTAGCTCCTTCGATTATTCTCTAATTATATGTCGCTGCCCACCATATTGCGCCTTCTGTCCCCTAGTGTTAAGGACCACCTCACCCTTCCACCCACTCCTACCCCGTGTTATTGTACTGACCAACCTCCTACTTTTTTATCTATGGTCGTACACACACACACACACACTCACACGCACACACACTCACTTCCCAGGCTCACTCCATTACATTTCCTCCACCGTTTGGTATATGCAGTCATTCCTCATTCATCTATAATGCAGTCAACCCTCAAACCGCCTCTCCCCAACCTCGGGATTTTTTCTTTACTTTATTGCTCAGTTTGCATGTGATAGCAGCCCCGTGTCCCCCCTGTGATGGAGTTACCCCTCCCCCCCACCAACCATCCCCTTCCCTCACCATCAGACTCCCCCACCTGGCCCACACCCTCCCCCCTCCTCCCCCTCACTCCATGAAGGCCGGGTACAATGTTCATTCATTTACCAGGAGAAAAATCGACTCATAAAGAGGATTTAGTTTTCTTTTTCAAAGCACCAGAAGTTTGGTGCTTCAATTCCATTAATTTTGGACAGCGAGAAAAGACGGAGATTTCTTATGGCCCATTGAGCGTGAAGAACTATCATGGTGTCTCTCTCTCTCTCTCTCTCTCTCTCTCTCAGGCGGTGGTAGTCGTGGTGGCGGTGGTGGTTGTGGCAGTGGTATCTTGGCGGTGGCGGCTACTCGCGTCCCCTCCTCCCCTCCATTCCCCACACTCCCTCCCACTCCTTCTCACTCACTCCCCACACTCCCTCCCCCACTCCCCCGCCCATATCTGCCACGTCATCAATACCACCTCAAAATATCGACTCATCATCACACACCCAGACTAACACGTGTTTCTTGACTACCGCCCTGGAGGTTAATGCCCAGTGTTTTCGCCTCTTCCCCTTTTATCATATTTGTCTTTCTACCCGTTGTTTTTTACGTTTTTCTAATTTTTTCCTCTATTTATCTGTTTCCCCTAGTTCTTATCTTTTTTCCCTTGTTCTTATCTTTTTTCCCTTTCATTTCACTTATTTATCGTATATTTTTCTCTCCCACCTAACCATTCTTCTTCATCTCACTTTCTTCATCTTCCCCTCACTTGTCCCCGTTCTTTCTTCCACTCTCTTCACTTCCATCTTCCCCCTCCTCACTTTCATCTCCCTTCCTCACTTCTCCCTTTCTGTCCCTCCTCACTTTCACTCTCCCCCTCCCTCGCCCCCCCCCCTCCTCACTTTCATCTCCCCCCCAGTGGTTGGTTGTGCTAGGAGGTGACAGCAGGATCAATAATTATCCCGGCAGCAGCTACACTGCTCACCCACTTATACTACTGTCACGCCTGTTAGTCATGTCCTGCTACACCCGCCCCCCACCTCACATCCCTACCCCCTCCCCACCCCCTCACATCCCCTCCTCAAGACACCCTTTCCCGCTTGGCTCTAGGACACCAGGACACTTTTTACCCTCTTGGTCTTAGGACATCAGGACACCCTATACTAATAACCCTTGACACTAGAACATTAGGATACCCTTTATCTCTCGCCCTAGGACAACAGGATACCCTTTATCTCTCGCCCTAGGACAACAGGATACCCTTTATCTCTCGCCCTAGGACAACAGGATACCCTTTATCTCTCGCCCTAGGACAACAGGATACCTTTTATTCACGCCCAGGACAACAGGATACCTTTATCTCTCGCCCTAGGACAACAGGATACCCTTTATCTCTCGCCCTAGGACAACAGGATACCCTTTATCTCTCGCCCTAGGACAACAGGATACCCTTTATCTCTCGCCCTAGGACAACAGGATACCCTTTATCTCTTCCACCTCAGCCACCAAGCTGCAGAATTGAAGATTTCTGAAACTCATACCGTAAGGAAACCAGAAATCCTCTCAACTTAATATCGCAGGACACTTTTACCTGTTACCTGGTGGCTCGCGTGACCCACAAACCTGACACTCCCTTGGTTAGTGGCTCCTATGACTTACCCCCTATGGCACTGTCCCTAAGCTGGTGGCTCTCATAACACATAGTCCTCCCTTGCTGTGGTGTGTGGCGGCGGCCTCGCTCCGGCCTGCACCCTCGTGGTGATATTGTTACTCACACCATTAGACTCTCCCTCCCTCCCTCCGTCTGTCACCACTCACCCCAGTTCTGCTCCATGGATTTGCCTGCCCAGTGGTCCTACCGTGCGTGACCTCCCATTCCCCTGACCCCGGCACCACTCTCACTCTGACTTTAAGAACACCAGCCTTGTTCTCTGTTGACACTGAGGGCACTAGTCAGATCCAGGAGGAATACCCAATACCTTGAGCTATGGCCATGACCCAGTAGGACCTTGACATAATAAAATCTCCTCTTGAATCTTTCCTTCGCCCTAGTGACCCTCCCTCCCTCCCTCGCTCTTTGCCAGCGTCCACACGAGGAGCCCACCACTTTCTAAGCGGGTAGACACGGCCACTCGCTCACTCGTCCACAACACCACTCCCCTCCCTCTTCCCTCCAGATCTACCACCTGCCCTTCCAACCATCCCTCCTGCACCTCCACAACGCGATCACCCGTTGGCATTTTAAAATTCTCTCTCTCTCACACACACACACACACACACACATCAATTGCCTGTTATTCTGTAACTCCATTTCTCACATCTCCAGTATCTTTTAACCCACGCCTGGAAATAATATCCGTCCTGGAAATAGTATCCGTCCGTCCGTGTTTATTTTCCGTCCATCCGTCCGTCCGGCAGCTTGTGAACGTGATATCTGCCGAATCTTTACGTCTCAACTTCCAGGGTGTGAACGTTTATGCTTTTGGTGAAACTCTCGGGGTAGACGTGTTTGTAGATGCCGACCTTGATATACTATTGTTATTGAAAGATAGAGAGTGTGATGTTCTGCTCAGACGTGTGGTGGTGTTGTTGTTGATGGTGTTGGTGGAGGACTGTGAAACTTTTAAAGAGTCACAACCTATCACCTTAATCTGATATGTTTTCTTCTTTCTCCTTACCTAGTACTCTTGACCCCCCTCCTCACCCCCTCCCCCCATCATGGACTCCTCTTACCTCACATCACTCCTTCCCTCGATTTGCATCACCCCACCTACCCCCTCTCGCCTCACCTCCCCTCAGTAGGTCACGTAGGTCCCCCCCCTCAGTGATTTCTAGTCTTTATTCCCCTCATCTGTTCGAGTCCCAGTTACTTCCTCCCTTTCCCTTCTTACCACCCTTCTTCCTTCTGCTATTTCCTCCCTCCTTTCTTCCTTTTTTTTGTAGAGAAAGAGGGAGTGAAAGATGATTAGAGGAGAAAGGGTTTAGGTTAGGTTACTGTAAGTAATTTAAAGCTTTTGTCTGGTTGGCTGACCACTTTGTCATCACTGGTACTAGGGAGTCTATACCCTATCCCATATTCGGGAGGTTTAAGGCTGTGTTTCGTATTTCGCCTTCCTTTATAACATGCTTCCCTCTCCTACTCTCTTCCTTCATCTACCTCCCCCCTTTCTCTACCTATCCCCTTTCTCTACCTACCCCCTTTCTCTACCTTTCTCTACCTACCCCTTTCTCTACCTACCCCCTTTCTCTACCTACTCCTTCCCTCCCCTAGATCAGAAGTGGGTGGTAGTGAGGAAGGTCTCAGGGTTGTGTGGCAGAGTTTGAAGCCCGAGTCAAGGGTGTTTGTAAGGGTCAGAGGTGGGTGGGTGGGTGGGTGGTGTGGGTGGGTGGTGTGGCGGGAGAGTGCCAGAAGAAAGAGATGGATGAGGTGGGCGCCTCAGCAGTTTCGCCTACACGGAAAATGGATCGGACTGTAAATTGAGTAGCTTATGTGAATTACAAACAGTGAGAGTGTAGTCCTGGCTGGTCCTTTGTTACTACACCTTATGTTTACTGAGGTGTAGTGTGTGTGTATGTAGTCCTCGGTACTCCTGTGTGTTATTGGGATGTCGACCCCCATGTGTAATTGAGTGTCATTACGTGTGTGTGTGTGTGTGTGTGTGTGTGGTCAAAAATAAAAACTCTTTATTGTTGTTGTTTTTCTGTGGAATAAATGAAAGTGAATAAATGCAAAAAACGAGAATAAACTGAAACGTGTTCTCATTGTATCGTCCAAAAGACTGGGGGCAGGATAAGGTAATACTGCATGTAAGAGCCACGGTATACCAGACAAGCTTCCCACACACATGAAGTTTATAACGAGCCAGTATAAAACACATTCTTCTATTATCGTATACACACAATGTTGACACAGTTTATAAACCCTTTAATCTCCTCTTGATTCCTCTTTGGGAACATCAGGGAAACGTTTTTAATATATATTTTTGTTACACCAATTACAGGCGGATCTTTCTTTTATGGATAAGTGAAATGACATCAGTTACAGACAAGGAACAACAACGCTCTCATAAAGCTCTCGAAACTGAAGGTGTTGATAAAAAAAAAGACGAGAAGTTGGTCGATAGTGGAGCGTGTGTCTGTCTGTCTGTCTGTCTGTCTGTCTGTCTGTCTGTCTACACTCATTTATATAAAGGCGTATTAAATCTTGTTTGTTTTGGTGATTGATGTTACTGATTTATTATACATACCCTTGAAAGACGGTCTTGGTATACAAATTGTGAGTTTCGAAAGAATAATGGATTTGATTTTGTAGTTATAACAGTAATTATATATATATATACCGGCTGTACAGTATTTGAATCACCGGTATTTTATTTTAATTCAATGTCTGGTGCCAGTGGCCTTAGTACTGTAGGTTTGGGAGGCCATAAGAGATTTTATGTTTTAATCCCTGTCTCACTTCCCCACCGTGATAGACAGACATAGAGGCTAGCATCACAATTGACAGGCAGAAGGAGTGTGTTGGATGATACTGTCTGCTATCTCCCTCTCCCTCCCCCCACTCTGATGATGATGTGTGCTATCTCCCTCTCTCTCCCCACTCTGATGTTGCTATCTGTTATCTCCCTCTCCCTCCCCCACTCTGATGATGCTGTGTGTTACCTCCCTCTCCCTCCCCCCACTCTGATGATGCTGTGTGTTACCTCCCTCTCTCTCTCCCCACTCTGATGATGCTGTGTGCTATATCCCCCTCTCTCCCCACTCTGATGATGCTGTGTGTTATCCCCCTCTCTCTCCCCCCACTCTGGACGCTAAGATAACCCCCTCTTTATGTCTATGTCTTCATGCATGGTATAGCTTATGATAACATTTGTAGCCATGGTTTGGTCTGGGTTTTACCCCGTGGTTGAACACTGTTTACTGATAACCAGAGCCTATACACTGATAACCAGAGCCTCTACACTGATAACCAGAGCCTCTACACTGATAACCAGAGCCTCTACACTGATAACCAGAGCCTCTACACTGATAACCAGAGCCTCTACACTGATAACCAGAGCCTCTACACTGATAACCAGAGCCTCTACACTGATAACCAGAGCCCCTACACTGATAACCAGAGCCTCTACATATTCTTTTCGTATTGAATTAATCGGTTATGCTGTGTGTGGTTAACTTTGTGTGGTGTTTACAGGGTGTGCGCGGGAGCTGAGGGTGAAGGGGTGGCCAGAGCGGGTATGTGACGGTGTGGTGGACTGTGCTGACATGTCGGACGAGGATCAGTGCTCCAACTGTGGCTCCGGAGCCTTCAGGTAACTGCCGTTCCTGATTAATTTCAGTCGGCTATTATTTTGTTTCAGTACACACACATGTTGATAGCTGGAGTGTATTAGTTAGGATTCTTTGTAATATATTAAAAAATTATCGAACATTATGATCATCCTGTGTGTGTGCTCAGAGGTGAGGCTGGATACAGAAATGAGTTGGGCGGAGCAACAAATTTGTTACTTGATGTAGCACCTGTTTTTGCTTGTCAAGGAAACCTTATAATTAATTTTAGTGTATTTATTTTACAAGGGATGAATCATGCTTATATACCACAGTGTGTGACTGATGCTTGATATTGTTTCGGAGTTCGTTTCATTCGTTTCAGGATCCTTAATAAAAAAAATACAGAATCTTTTTGTACATGTGTTCAATAACTACAAGTTTATTAAGGTTAAGTTACAGTGAGTCAAGAGCCACACTATACTCCGTGTCAGGATCAATTATATAAAATAGTGGCAGCCTTGTTGTCAGTTTGCGCGCCTCTTAGCCACTGCCGTAACAAAATACTGTAGATGACTCGGCCCTAAACTAAAACTCGGACACACTGGGCCCTTCCTGCTCCAGTAAGGGCCCAGTGTGTCAGATAATTATGAGGTATCTAAGAAAACACATTTTCTTCGAATAATTAATCCTTAAAGCATTTAACACGTTCAAGAAATATTAGTAGTGAGGCTATCAGTAGTGTCATCTGTATAACATTGACGAAAGGATCTACACACGGTGACGCCTGACCCTGTTAGAGTACCCAGGCGGCTAGTCTTTCCTTATTCGGTTATGATACAAGTAATTTAATACTTCAGTTCTACAAATTACATACTTTTATTACTACCGTATATTAAAATTGTCTATACGGACTTCGCTTTTGTGTTTCCCGTAATGCTATTCATCTGTCTCCTTCCTTGATGGCATTGATCTCGGCAGTTGAATGGTGGGATAACCTCACCTCGTTCCTCAGACTGCCCAAGAATAAATAGAGGAAGCAATTAATTCCAGAAATTCTCGCGGCCATTATCCCCGGTGTACCCCCAGCCTTATCAACATGCAGGCAAAGTCCACGACTCGCAAACATCTCCAGGAATCTTTGCATCTCGGAACTTGTCAAAAAATGGCCAGCAAAAGGCTAAATTTTTCATACCAGTCGAGTAAATTTGTCCCATTCCTCAGTGCATATTATAGTGCCATGCATCTTCTCATGATATACCAGGTATTTACCAGCAGGAGGGAGGGCACGCGCGGCACTCGTCTCTGTCCCTCCCTCCCTCCCTCCCTCCCCATCGTCCACACTAAAAGCACCGCGTCTCATTAATGACCCACCCCTCATATACCCTCTCCCGACTATTCATACTCACCCTTCTCTGAAGTTTCGTCTCTAATCCACTTGCAGCTACTTTCATATATGATTTCTCATGTAAGATTCCTTTTACCATCACAGATATGTTTAGAAACGCACTTTAGTAACGCGCCTCAACGGTTGAGGTACTAGTCCCGTGAACACTACTCTCGCTCAACTTAAAAGCTGGAACAGAAGTTCTATTTCTACATGAATTTGTTCTCCTACACCTTCAGTTTTTCGTTTGTAGATAACATATACAGTACATATTTGGTTATATATCCTGATAAGTACTATCTTAATGTACTTACCTACCTAGTTCACCCAAAATAGAGATGGCCATGCCGAGAGAATGAGGCCAGTGACCTGAGTAGTATCTCTCCGTTGTTTTTGATACTGTAGTCTATGCCCGGGCTGTTTTGAAGCTCAGTAATGCTTTCGATTCCACAGCTTGAGCTGGTAGGCTATCTATATAGGTCTACCAGCCTCTGTTAATCTCAAGTATTTTTAAATTGATATACAGTGTGTTGGAAGACGACTTGCATACAAATTTTACTTGAACAATTCGAACAATTCATATTACTATTTAAACCATATTGTTCACCCCTTTGAAGTTTACGTGAACCAAGTTTTGAGTTAAAATTGTCAGTTTGAAACCACCTACAATGTTTTAAAGAATAATTAATTTTATCCTACTTTTTTCGTGATCCATTTGCAAAGTCAACCAAAGATGCATGTACCCCACCCTGGCTCTCATACTGGCAATTTTACCTGGCAATACTATATGGCGACTCAACTACAACCAGGGCTGCCACAAGATTCTCACATCAAATTTTCTTCATTATTTAAGGAAGCATACAAACATTTGGAAACTTGGCATGATCTAAAATAACGAAGAATAGTTTATTATTATAAGAATGTTACCTTTGGATTGTTTAATATTTATCCTGACAGTGATACAACCGAAAATAGACCCACCAATCACAATCACCATTACACACATGAGGTCAGCAGTCACTTTGGTGTAAATCAATAACTCGATCACAAATATACACCAAACCATGTGAGTGATATTGTGATCATTGTGATATAGCTGTTAAAATACTCATTGGTTTCTAGATTATTAAAGAGATTTTGTTTGCTATACTATACTGTATAACGTAAACTGAGTTTGTAGAAACCATTGAGGATAATTTTAAGCCAAGAAAACGGCACTTACCCCGAGTATGACGGGTGATGTATCTGGTGGTGCTCTTGGAGGCCCCCCCTGCCACTGTTGCGGCTCAGGACACACGTGTTGAGTGAGCCACTTGCTGTGTGGGACGCCCCTCACCGTTTGTTGTAACACAATTGAATATTAATAATATTTGTATAAGAAAAATTGAGTTTACTATAGCTATGTATTTGAGTTGGTGTGTGTGTGTGTGTGTGTGTGTGTGTGTGTGTGTGTGTGTGTGTGTGTGTGTGTGTGTGTGTGTGTGTGTGTGTGTGTGTGTGTGTGTGTGTGTGTGTGTGTGTGTGTGTGTGTGTGTGTGTGTGTGTGTGTGTGTGTGTGTGTGTGTGTGTGTGTGTGTGTGTCAAAGTTCTTGATACTAACACAAACACTTAGCAGGGTGGACAGGAGGATGAGCTTAATACTTTTCTTTTATTGAGAAGATTAAACTGTAAGTGTCCTGCCATCGTGTGTTTTTTACTTATCAATATTGTAGTACTGTAGTGTACTGTACAGTGTCGTTTTCTGTTTATCATCAAAGGACTTTAAGCGTCGTCAGTTTCTTATTTACTGTAAAAGTCAATGTAAATCATACAGAAAGTCAGTCGACTGGTTAATTCATGCTGTAACAAGTGCATTTTTCTTAATATTTGGGATCCTGAAATTAATTTGCCAGAGGATCACTTCACTATGACAATTTAATAATAAAGCTCCTTGTGATCCCGAATTATCCAAATATAAATCACGGGTTATATGTGTGAAGAATGAACATGAAGAACTGGTGAAGAGAATCATCTACTTGCATGAGGTATTTCTTTGTGAGTGTGTGAGGACAGCACCGTCTTTAAGATGGGGGTGAGGAGTAGGGTGTTTAGGGGGGTCACACCTCGGGGTCAGCTCCCTCGGTCGCCTGCTGTTGACTCCCTGGGAAAAACTTGTTGATTGATCGATGTTTGTTTGCCACAAGAACCTGATCCTGCGTCTTTGCCACCAAATAATACTTCTTCTTTTTTATTACCAATACTAATTACCATTGACAGTAACTCAGTCTACTGCTGTTCATGGCTTCTGACTGGGACCACTTAACTGATCTGTAAGTGGCCAAACTGACACAGTGGATTGTATTATGGTCTTTGGTGCATAAAAGTAATTAAAACAGATGTTATACGTACGCTCTCCGGGTACAGGGAGAAACACGACACTTGGATACGAACTGCGACGGTATCCAGCCACTTCAGTCCTCTTAAGATGTCAACGCTTCCCTCCGTAAACGATGAAATATAACATAACTCATTAGTTTAGCAGTGTGCATATCACAGTTGAAACACCCGACACGCTGAATATTCCGTCCATAAATTAAGGAAAAGTAACAGTGCCATCTAGAACTTGGACACAGACCCGTGCAGGACCTGGCTATACGTTTTTTTTTTTCTGGTTTTCATTTCTTCTCAACAATTACAATTAAGCTTCATATTTTTTTTTTATACTGTTCTTGTTGAAACTTGAAGGAAAAGTTTATTTCTTACCAAGTATGCAGATTTGAAGACTCCCAACAGAGGAAGTGTGCTATATTAACTCAACTAATTTATAGAAGCAGAAGATTCAGTTGGAATTTGTAGGAGTGAGAGGTTAAGGAGGAGTCTTGTTTGTTTGTGGTAGAATACAGTGATGGTGGAATACAGTGATGGTGGAATACAGTGATGGTGGAATACAGTGATGGTGGAATACAGTGATGGTGGAATACAGTGATGGTGGAATACAGAGATGGTGGAATACAGTGATGGTGGAATACAGTAATGGTGGAATACAGTGATGGTGGAATACAGTGATGGTGGAATACAGTGATGGTGGAATACAGTGATGGTGGAATACAGTGACGGTGGAATACAATGGTGGTGGAATACAGTGATGGTGGAATACAGTGATGGTGGAATACAGTGATGGTAGTAGAATACAGTGATGGTGGAATACAGTGATGGTGGAATACAGTGATGGTGGAATACAGTGATGGTGGAATACAGTGATGGTGGAATACAGTGATGGTGGAATACAGAGATGGTGGAATACAGTGATGGTGGAATACAGTAATGGTGGAATACAGTGATGGTGGAATACAGTGATGGTGGAATACAGTGATGGTGGAATACAGTGATGGTGGAATACAGTGACGGTGGAATACAATGGTGGTGGAATTAAAAAATGTCTTGGTTGGTAGTCACGCTGGATAAATTATAAACATAACTATTTATCTCTAGGATTATAGGATTACATAGCCTGTGTATGTACGTATGTGTGGACTTGTAGTGTGTGCGTGGTATGTATAAATCGCAGCATGGGTGTGTGTATGTAGACTTGCTGTGTGTGTGTGTGTGTGTGTAGGATAATCTAACCACCGTGTTGTTGTGTACAGGTGTGGGTCTGGTTCAGCCTGTGTCTCCCAGGAGCGACGTTGTGACGGCATCGAAGACTGCCCCAATGGTTCCGACGAGCGTGGCTGTTGTAAGTCTCCTCACCCTGTTACTCCCTTCACCCTACTACCCTTCCCCTGCCAGTCACCCCATCACCCTGCCACCCTTTGTGTCCCCACCACCCAGCCAGTCCTTCTTAAACTTATACTCTTCACCCTCGGCCTAGGCTCTTCACCCTCGGCCTAGGCTCTTCACCCTACAGTAGACTCTTCACCCTACAGTAGACGCTTCATCCTAGACTCCTCACCCTACAGTAGACTCTTCACCCTAGGCCTAGACTCTTCACCATACGGTAGACTTCACTCTAGGCCTAGACTCTTCACCATACGGTAGACTCTTCACCCTAGGCCTAGACTCTTCACCCTACGGTAGACTCTCCACCCTACAGTAGACGCTTCACCCTAGACTCTTTACCCTAGACTCTTCACTCTACAGTAGACTCTTCACCCTAGGCCTAGACTCTTCACCATACGGTAGACTTCACCCTAGGCCTAGACTCTTCACCCTACAGTAGACGCTTCACCCTAGAGCGCTTCACCCTAGATACATTTCCTTCCGATTCACTACCACAATATTTCATCTCATTAGGCAACACCTTCCTCTTCACTCCTTAATACAGGACCTTTTAGTCCTGCCCTTAAATTATCCACTTTGACCTAGCTTTGAATTGTATCAGCCTGCTCTTAAATCCCTTCCCCCAACCCTCCCCTCCCCAAACCCCTTCCCCTCCTCCTCACACTTGACCTGCTCATAATTACTCCTTCATTAACCCCTGATAAAGTTAGGGTCAATATTTGCTTACCAAGATTGGTCTCTCTCTCTCTCTCTCTCTCTCTCTCTCTCTCTCTCTCTCCTCTCTCTCTCTCTCTCTCTCTCTCTCTCTCTCTCTCTCTCTCTCTCAGGCGTATACTATATATTTTTCCCGTTTGTTTAGTATCGTTGACGCCGACATAAACCAATCCTGACGCCCCTGAAGGGCAACAGTGGATAAAATACAACCAGGAGGGTCTCCTGCACACGGTACACGGAGGGCAGCATCCCCCCACTTGCCCGTGTGTGTCGCTTAGCATCAACAAGACCCTCCTGCAGGAGGCTCACCAGCTCTTATACCTGCTTATAGCCGGGAGTCACCTGTGATCTCCTCCTACAGGTATGTCCTCACGCGTCCTCACTGCTCACGTGTTCTCCTACTCACGTGTCCCTCTTATACGTGTCCTCACTACTCGTCCTCACTACATGCGTGTCCTCCTACTCACGTGTCCTCACCTCCCGTGTCCTCCTCACTACTCACGTGTCCTCACTACTCACGTGTCCTCACTACTCACGTGTCCTCACTACTCACGTGTCCTCACTACTCACGTGTCCTCACTACTCACGTGTCCTCACTACTCACGTGTCCTCACTACTCACCAGGAACAAATGATCACAATGGAAAGCTTTGGTTTTGTTTTGTTTGTTTTCGATAAATTTGGGTAAATAATTCTACTAACAGTCAAGTCCCAAGTCGTTAGTTAGTGAGTAAATTTTCTTCTGGACAAAGGGTAAAGTATAGGGTGTCCCTGCTTCCCTTCCTCCCTCCCTGCCTGCTCCTTGCCTCCTTCCTTCCCTCCCTGCCTGCTCCCTGCCTCCTTCCTTCCCTCCCTGCCTGCTCCCTGAGACACTGTGAATTGGAGGGAGGGAAGCAGGGGGGCAGGGAGCGGGCAGAGAGGCAGGGACATTTTTCTGGGACACCCTTTAATGACCATGCACTTTATTCGATGCATTTCCAACACAGTTACAAGTTGTTTACACACCGACAAGTATTATTGGTAATCGTTAGTATGATCATTGGGCCTCCATGTAATATTTGCCTACCATCCCCAACCAAGTGTTTAATGTAACTCTTTTTAACCTACCGATGAGTGACTAAAATTACGCTATCGAACTTTCATGACCGGACACACCTACATATCCACCTCTCCCTCCCTCTCCATCCACCCTCTCCACAGACGTCAAATTAAGCCACATACTCCTCCACAATACAAACCGAGACTTGAAAACATATTTTTGTGTTACTCAAGACAAATCGTCATATTAAGCATACTTGTAGATGTGTGTTTTCATTGTGTACAGTCAATAACGAATATATCTGTATCTTTACGGCTATATACAGTACAATATGATACACCGGACCAAGAATTCTGAATAATACTCATGAGTTATGGTGTATGTATACAGAAAACATCGTATTGGTTACACAATCAAAAGTACCAACCTTACTAAACGAACATGGCCACAGTCAGTCATCGCTGTGAAGGCCGTTAGACCAGGGGTGCATTATGTATTTTTATTTACTACATGCGTCCAGTAAAAATATTTCTAGGGAGAGGTTAGAGTTGAAGTGAGGCAGTACCCCTGTGTGTGTGTGATCCTCTGTCTTGGTGGGTGCTCCTGAGCCGGAAACTCAAGTACAAGATCAAAAGGTGAACAGTCGGCCGGGCCTCCACAACAATCAAGCCCTGCCGAAGCTCTACTAGTGGCGGGAGGAGGATGTGTAGGGAGGGGAAGATTTCCTCTTTGTGGGTGTAATTTGGTTTGGGTTTATCTTTCATATTATAGTACTGACATTCAATGATTTTTATTGGACGAACACACACACACACACACACACACACACACACACACACACACACACACACACACACACACACACACACACACACACACACACACACACACACACACACACACACACACCAACCTTTGTTTGTTTGTTTATTAGATTTGTCTTATATCTTTCTGCACGTATTCAGTCTTTTAAAAGGTATTCCGTTTCTCAACAAAGGTTCAAATACTCCTTTTCAATATTAGATACTGTCCATCCATAGAATTTGAACAGTTCCTTCCTCATTCTCCTCCTCCTCCCTAACATATCGTTCAGGTTTTTACACACATCACATGGAGACATATTTTCTGTATGAGTGATCTGTTGTTTGGTGAGGAGACTCGTCGCTGCGCCTCGGTGGTTCCCTGGGATATTGTGAATGGAAGGGGGGGCAAAATACAAGAAAAAAGTGGCTCTGTAGTTGTAGCGGAAGTCAGGACGACATGACAAGAGAGGGTCGGCTGGTGTCATAGAGAGTAGAGGTGACACAGAGAGGGTTGGCGATGGTATAGAGAGGGTTGGGATGATATAGAGAGGGTTGAGGTGGTACAGAGAGGGTTGGGATGGTACAGAGAGGATTGGGGTTGTCACAGAAGAGGTTGGGTTGTCACAGAGGCGGTTGGGTTGTCACAGAGGCGGTTGGGTTGTCACAGAAGCGGTTGGGTTGTCACAGAAGCGGTTGGGTTGTCACAGAAGAGGTTGGGTTGTCACAGAGGCGGTTGGGTTGTCACAGAAGCGGTTGGGTTGTCTAGAAGCAGTTGGAGTTGTCACAGAGGCAGTTGGGTTGCATCACAGAAGCAGTTGGGTTGTCACAGAAGCGGTTGGAGTTGTCACCAAGGGCGGTTGGGTTGTCTGAGGAGCGTTGGGTTGTCTGAGAGCGGTTGGGTTGTCACAGAGGCGGTTGGGTTGTCTGAAGCAGTTGGGTTGTCACAGAAGCGGTTGGGTTGTCACAGAAGCGGTTGGGTTATCACCAAAGCGGTTGGGTTGTCTAGAGGCAGTTGGGGTTTGTCACAGAAGGCGGTTGGGTTGTCACAGAAGCGGTTGGGTTGTCACAGAAGCGGTTGGGTTGTCACAGAGGCGGTTGGGTTGTCACACAGTGCTGAGTTGTCACAGAAAGGGTCGGATTGTCACAGCAAGGGGGTTGCCTTGTCACAGAGAGGGTTGGAGTATCCGAGGGAGTGACAGATGGACTGTGGTTGTGGCGGTGGTCCGGTATCCAACTGTCAATTACCACCGGATAAAAAGTTCTACAAAAAACTGTGGATTAAAAAAAGTTGGTGAGAAAGTTGGCACAGGGGCGGCTTGAGGGAGGCCTGGGGGTGGCCAGGGCAGTTCCCCTTAGGGCGGCAGGGGCAGAATATAAGGGGTGGCCAGGGGGCTGGAGTATAAGGGCAGCTTGTCGAGAAGAGGGGCGGCGGGGCGGGTGTAGGGGCGGCTTGACAAGGAAGAGAGGAGTTGTGGTAGTGACTGATGCAGCTGTCTCTTCACCCAGCTGCAGGTGTGGACGGGAGCTAGCAGAAACACTCACATCAATGAGAAATTATCTCCCCTCTCCCCATCCTTAAAGGGGAGGTAAATTATCTCCCCTCTCCCCATCCTTAAAGGGGAGGTAAATTATCTCCCCTTTCCCCAACCTTAAAGGGGAGGTAAATTATCTCCCCTCTCCCCATCCTTAACTCCCATAATTTTGCCTTTATCTTCTTTTTTCAGTAACTTGGCGTGGTTATTGTGTAGAAATTGCCAACATTCACGTAGGATTCTGGGTGTGTTAGTCTATACGTTCATTAGATTATACCGTCATGTCACCACCCCTCACGTACATCGTAACTAAGAGTGGAATTCACGTTAATTTTGTTATATGTTTACACTGTGTCCGGAAGAAGGGGGAAATGATAAACGAATTAGTGCATATTAATTCACAGTGAAATAAAAAGTAAATAAATAAAAAGTTCTCGTATACAGTTGCCCTCACTACCCATGGCCACGGAGCACCTATTACAACCGATGACTGTTAGTTTCATATTACCCATCAGACTGTATACTATAATCCACGCCTCACTATTGGTCCACGCGAGCATATAACTGACTGGTTGGACACCATTTATCACTGTATCCCGAACACCAGGTTGTACAGTGATCTATATATCTCCTATTTCATGTATCTCTTGCTATCTCTTACACAGAAACGTATCACGACCTTATATACGACCTGTGTGCCTCCCCGAGAACCACCCATTGCTCACCCAGAACGTGTCTCTCTTCCTCCCTTTGATAAGCCGCAGTGGATGCATCACCGTCTGCCCCTTAATTTCCCTTTACCCCCATCCCCCTTACCCTCTTTGCCTCGCCCCTTAAGGGAAACGAGATTCACCCCTGATGGTGTATGTAAAGAGCAAAATATCAGACGCGGCCACAAATTGCCGTCATCAGAAGCGTTAGACAGAGAGGCGCTTAACTCAGGCCAAGGTTGTGATGTAGGGAAGGTCGCAGTTCAATTTTGATAAGAGAGGGGAGGCTTGGGTTGGCAGTGTGTCCGGGATCACTAGTAAGGTCAGTGGCGGGGTCTGTGGTAAGGTTACTGGTTGGGTTACTGGTAAGCTCACTGAAAAAGTTACTGGCAGGGTCACTGATAAGGTTTACTGGTAAGGTCACTGGCGGGGTCTGTGGTAAGGTTACTGGTGGGGTCACTGGTAAGCTCACTGATAAAGTTACTGGCAGGGTCACAGATAAGGTTACTGGTGGGGTCACTGGTAAGGTCACTGGCGGGGTCTGTACCAGGGAAAGTAGAGGAAGTGAGGTAAGAGAGGGAATAACGGCGGGAAGAGTTAAGGAAGAGAGGCAGCAGGGAGAGGAGGGTGTGGTTGCTCTGGCCCCAGTGTACAAAGAGTGTCAAGTATGGTTGTTCTGGCCCCAGTAGAAAGTGGTGAACGGACTGAAAACCAAAAACCTGCCCAGGACAAGACAAGGAAGAAGCCGACGTCAGGGGGATGACAATAGGTCTTCGATTTTTTTGTGTTTTTTCTTCCCGTTCCGTAAAACAGAGCTGAAAATACTAAGGAGCTTCTTAGTAGCAGGAGTGAGGGAGGAGAGGGTGATGAAGAGTGTAGACGGTAGAATGTAGGGACGGGGAGGGGGGGTGTGTTGGAGGTGAGGCAGTTAGGGGAGACGAGGACAAGGAAAATACCAGAGAAAACGCGAAGAAACGGAATGGAAGGAGAGGGGGTGGAGGAGAGGCGACGAGGGATCGGAAATGGTCTCCAAGAGGAAAACAAACTACTTGGTCCTCAAAGGCTCCTATATCTATGGGTGACAGGGAGGAGGGTAAGATGGAGGGGGTTTGTGGTACAGGAAGTGAGAAGGAAGGAGGAGGGGGTAAGATGGAGGAGGTAGTAAGAGAAAACGAGGTAGCAGTAGTGACAACGAGAAATGATAAAGATGAAAGAGGAGGAAGTGAGAAGGAATAAAAAGTAAAAATAGGTTATAAAAGTAAGAGGAACCAGAGATATAGGATGAGAGATGGTAGGGTGTAATAGAGAAATCTTTGATAAGGGAGATGGCGGGTAGAAGGTAAGGTTAAACAGGAGAATAGAAAAGTGTACGGGGTACCTTGAGACGTTGGTATCCCACTCCAAACACAGTCAGACTCCAAGTATCTGGGAACACAAGTCAGAATTAAATAGGATGTAATATTAGGACAAATGCAACTCTGGGCTGAAATGAATGGAATTTTAACCCTAGGAAGAATGAGTCAGTCACCTCCAGTTAGCTGATGGTCCACGATAATATAAACGTCTTGTGAACGTTTGGTAAATGACTGTAGTGGACACGGGCGGAAGGACATAAAGACAGATCACGTAATAGAGAACATTTGAGTCTCCCCAAAGATATCTGGAAGTAAGTTAAACGCCGCCTAGTCATGGTTCTGATTCTCAAAGACTCGTATGTTGAAGTTTCTTGTTTGATGAAATGAGCTGTGGTATGCGGTACAGTCTCAGTGCAATTTCGACGTCATATTTTACCGTCATTTATATAGCGTAGTATGATATAAGTTATTCATCTTTTGTTGAAATTTAAAATGAGTCACCTAAATGTATCGTACTTTCTGCAGTTAGGGCAGCGGAGCAAATTAACACATACGACCCTTGGAGAATCCGGGACGAGAATTATTTCCAGGAGAGGAGGAGTAAAGTAAGGAGGCGAGTCAATACATAATGTATAAATTCTAGCGATAAATACTTGACGGTGAGGGAAACTCTTGATACTGCCACAATTTATGATGGTATGAAGGGAAACGATTCTTATTTTGGCGGACATTCAATCACCACGAGAAAATTGGAAAGGGGAAAGAAGGAGGAAAGGGGGAGGAAGGGGGAATGGGGAGACAAAAAGATGGAGAGAGAGAAAGTACTGAAGACATTGGTAATAGATAAATAGCTATGTAGATAGACCGATATTGATGTATATAATCATATCATCAGACAAGTTTACACTGATTCAGTATATGTGTATAGACAGTCCAGGTATACAGTATATACATAGATGGAGATATGGGAGGAAAGTGTATACGAGAGACGATTCGGGATGGCTTAGTATAGAAGATCAAAAGTAAACAGAGATAACAGTTGATCAGAAGTAAGCAAAGATAAAAGCTGATCAAAAGTAAACAAAGATAACAGCTGATCAAAAGTAAACAAAGATAACAGCTGATCAAAAGTAAACAAAGATAACAGCTGATCAAAAGTAAACAAAGATAACAGTTGATCAGAAGTAAATACATTCTTCTCCACACATAAGTGATCACTGAATGGCTCAAGAAATCAGCAGTAAGTCAGGCAATTACCCAGGCACTGCAGGCAGTCAGTCAAGTCACCCATTAGTCTGTCAGTTTGTTGTGTAAGTAATTAGTAATTCAGACAGTTCCAACCTCCTCCCTCTCCCTTCATCGTTTGCACTAACGGGGGAAACTTTATAGCACCAGGAAAACTTCTGAAAAATAAGAACAAGTTTCTGGTGGGAAGATCTAGCAAGATGGATGAAAGATTTGAAGCAACAGGGGAAAATTCTAGGGTAATGTGAATAATTTTGTAGCTACAGGGAAAAGTTTAGGGGAAATTTCGGAAAAAAAATTAGCAACGAGAGATAGTTTAGGAAAATAACTAAAGCTTCACGGTAACGGGGAAACTTTATGTAGGAAAATGAGGAAAATTTCTTGATAGTGAAAATATTTGGGCCAATGGAAGAAAGGTTAAAAAAATTAAGAGGATATTTGGTCAGCATTAGAAGTTAAGGGAAAATTATGAAACTTTTAATTCAGTGGCAAGAAGGAAAACCTAAGGACAATCGAGGAAAGTATAGTGGGAAAAAGCAAAGATAATATATAAAAGTTTCAGGGTTAAAAAAGAAAAGTATATTGTAATTGGGGAAAGTTTTACAGTGGTAAGAGAAAGTATGGTGTAATGGGAGAAAGTTTAAAGGTTACAGTTTCCCACAGGTATAGTGTTCCACCCCAAGAGGAATAATGGTATAATGGGGAAAGTTTTAGGGTACTAAGAGAAGGTAATGTAACGTTGGTTGAAGATCTATTAAAATCATAGCTTAGAATTTACGGTTCATAAAAGAGTGGGTTTTTTTATGAAAAGTAGCTGCGTATATAATATTTTCAAATGTAAGTAGGATTAATAGTAAAATATTGGATAAAAATAAATTTACAGACGTTATGAGATTTAGAGGTACGGCAGTAATTGGTGGGTGGCCGTTCAACTTGTACTGTTTAGAATGACGAGTGAGTGCACCTTTGTTCTCCATGATGGCGGGCAAGTCAGTGTATTATACAATGTACTCACCAGTTTGTTCTAATATACACTGTACTTGTACCTACACCTGTATTCATGTAATGGTACCTGTACAGTATCTGTTTGTGTGTACCTGTGGTCTCACTTACAAATTAATAATATAAAATGAAAACCCAGTAAGTACTGACGTTGGGCTGTGCTGGCGTCGAGCGGTGTAGCCACTGATGCGGCCTTGGATAACGGGTAATGATGCTGTTTAATGGCACCTGTTTAATGGGGGACGACGACCAGCGGTAAAGGGAGCGCCCGAATTAATGGGGAGGAGGTCGCAGGGAGGTTACGGCTCTCCTCGTTATGTGGAATCACTAGCAAAATTGGGCAGTTATGTCAGAGCTGCCGATTTCAGAAGCAGATGTGGACACGTAGTTACAGGGAAGAGATGACAATGAAACGAGGAGGAGGAGGAGTAAATGTAGAAAGATGAAAAGCAAAAGAACAAGTAATCGAGGAATAGGTGTGAGAAGCAATAATGGGAGAGAGGAGAAAGGGGGTAACAGGGAGGATAGACGAAGACTGGGAGAGGAGGATGGGATGGGCAACAGCATGGGAGAGAGACGGGAAAAATGGGGGTAGGAATATGGGGAGGAGAGAGTGTTTGAAGGGGCGCCAAAGAAGTTGAGATGAAGAAGGGCGCCAGCTAGTAGGGAGTGAAGGGGCGCCAGCTAGTAGGAGTGAAGTGACGCCAGCTAGTTGAGATGAAGGGGCACCAGCTAGTAGAGGTGAAGGGGCGCCAGCTAGTAGGAGTGAAGTGACGCCAGCTAGTTGAGATGAAGTGGCGCCAGCTAGGAGTGAAGGGCGCCAGTTAGTAGAGATGAAGGTGCGCCAGCTAGTAGGAGTGAAGGGGCGCCAGCTGGTAGAGATGAAGGGGCACCAGCTAGTAGAGGTGAAGGGGCGCCAGCTAGTAGGAGTGAAGTGGCGCCAGCTAGTAGGAGTGAAGGGGCACCAGCTAGTAGAGGTGAAGGGGCGCCAGCTAGTAGGAGTGAAGTGGCGCCAGCTAGTTGAGATGAAGTGGCGCCAGCTAGTAGATATGAAGGGGCGCCAGCTAGTAAGAGTGAAGTGGCGCCAGCTAGTTGAGATGAAGTGGCGCCAACTAGTTGAGATGAAAGGGCACTAGCTAGTTGGAGTGAAGTGGCGCCAGCTAGTAGAGATGAAGGGGCACCAGCTTGTGGAAGTCTATGGTTGCAGTAATGAGCCACCTACAAGAGTTAACCGCGCTGCAGCTACTAGTTACGCTGAAGGATAAAAAGAATTTACAAATAATAAATTAAAGGGATTTCAAATCGCCGCTTTATTGACATGTGGATTTATTAAGAACGATATATATCTGGTTATGTGTGATGGCTCAGTGGCGGATGTCCCTCTCAGCCCCCGACAATTGACTATAAATCTGTAATTGAACTTGCAATGGACGGGCGAGTTTTATGGGGCGGGGGGTCCGTCCTCCTCCCTGCCCGCCCACAGCCCGCCTCATAACTGTCCACCCATTGCCTTCTGTCCTCCCACCATCTACTGTCCCCTCCATCACCCACTGTCCCCTCACCTCCACTGTCCCCCCTCACTCCACTGTCCCCCTTTATAATCCACTGTCTCCCTTGCCGCCCACTGCCTCACCGCCCACCGCCCCTTCATCATCCACTGCCCCTCACCGCCCACTGTCCTTATAATCCACTGTCTCCCCTGCCGCCCACTGTCCCCCCCTCACCGCCCACTGCCCCCTTCATCATCCACTGTCTCCCTCGCCGCCCACTGTCCCCCCTCACTCTCCACTGCCCCTCTTCATCATCCACTGCCCCCCTCACCGCCCACTGTCCCCTTATAATCCACTGTCCCCCCTCACCGCTCAACATCTGATCCTCCTGAAGCTTCCTGCTGACGGACTCGACACCAAGTGACGTAAACACTCCGACTCATCTCTCCCCATATAGAAAACCTGGTTTCAGGGCCATGCATGATGGGACGCCAAGGGAAGACCTTCAGACTACATCTCGGGGGTTGAGGGGATACCAGCAATGGAAGACTTACTATTGGCCCTGTTTATTCCCTACTGTGTAATAATTAGTTCTTTAGATAGGTTGGCTATTGTGGCGAACAAATTTTGATTGTTTGGTTCTCATGTCAGATATCATTACAATTTCGTGTTTTTGCAGCATTTAGTCCTGTGTCCAGTTGTGTTTTCTCACATTATATGGGTCTATGCTAAGTGGTGTCATGGATGCTGACGCATTATGTCATTTGTCATTATTGTGGCATTTCATATTTTATTCCTATCATGTCATTGTGATGGTGACGTGACATAATAGTAAGGAGTGTTATATGCAAAGTGTATTTTGTACACTACATGTAATGAAAGGTGATACAGAGCGGTGTTGAGGTGATTCAGTGGGTTAACGTGTATGTGTGTGTGTGTTGTTCAGGGGCGTGGAGCTGGTGGAGGTGGTGACTGAAGACGTGTTCGACCATGTGCCTGGCCTGGGCTACGTGCAGATCACCGACGTGTACTCCACGAACATCACCTTTGAGAGTGTCAACTGCAGCAGACGTACTGTTGTCTACATGGTGTGTTCCGAACTAGGTACGTCTCTCTCTCTCGTGTCACAGGTATATATATATATATATACGGGTGGAAGTAATTTATCTTGAATAAAAATGTTATTTTGTATTGGCAGTGTTCTGGTTCACTTTATGAAGTTGTCTAATTAGCGTAAATGATAATTACCAATATAATTTTCTTAGCCCTGCCTTTAGGGTGAAGGGGTTATTAATTACGTTGTGTTGGGTCGAATTTGATGAAACTAAGGCACAAAAAATGATTGTGTTAGCTTTGTTTCTGTATGTTGTTATATTTGTATGTATGTCTTAACATAAGAAATGTATATTATTCACTATATAATCAGCGTGTGGGGTACGGCCGCTGTATTTGGCGCCGCGGAACCCTGCGGTGGAAGGCGGCGTGGTGCGGACGGCTGGGAGTGGTGACTGGCCATGGGCGGCGGCGTTACTAAAGGACGGTGCCCACGCCTGCGACGCCACCCTCATCCACCCCTCTTGGCTCCTCACCACCTCACTCTGCTTCCAGGGGTCAGTACAATAGCACTAAAATCTTTACGGTTTTAATACCTTAACGTTTTTTTTTTTAGGCCTCAAGCCGGGGTACTACTAACGTTGGCCATACTTGGCATGTTCCCATTTTAGAGGGTGAAATTTCGGCCTGATTTTTTTCCAAGGCCCATATGTCTGTCCCAATCTTTGGCCACTTTCTTTGCCTCATGAAGGGTTGAATTAAAGGAGTTTAGCCTCAAGTGCCTAGTAGAAAATATAGGGACCCCCCTCCCGCCTCCCCCCTACCACCACCACCGCCGCAGGTTTTCTGGTAATAAGTCCTATTTTGTTATACATTGTCTGATTACCTATTTTTTTTGTAACTAAGTCTCCTTGAATACAAATTTAAAAGAACAATACAATTGCATTAAAATCCCCAGCATATTTTATAAATTAATCACCGAGTGGTTAAGCAAGCATCATGTTTAGACACGTTAGTACATAATTATCAGATAAGATAAATTAATAGGTGTCACATGCTGTCCTGTACAGCTAACAGTCTTTAAACATTTGATGTCACATTCATAGCTTTGTGATTTGACCTTATCATCCCCCTCACACAGTCAGGGGCGGGCGCTGTGGGTGGCGCGGCTGGGTGGTATCCGCATTTCGTCGCAGGCGCCTTGGGTGCAGGAGCGACTTATCGTTGGTATGGTCAAGTCCCCAGTAGAAGGAAGTCAAATCGTCCTCATTAAGGTGAGTATCGTTACCCATACAAGAACACACGCACATATAACATAAATGTACGTGCATGTGAGAATTTGTATTATAGTATGTGTGGGTGGGCGAGATGAGCGTGAGTACAGCACAAAGCGCACAAACTTGACAGTTGTAGGCGCCTCCCAGCATCACCAACTGGTAACTCTGGTCCCGGGCCTGTGTCATCAAGTTAGATCCACCTTTTGAGTTTATTTACCCCAAAGTTACTTCCCATTCAGAGGCACGTCGCCGTAAACTAGGTGGCTTCTTGCCTTGATTAGGTTTATTAGGGGAGCAACTGATGCCAAGAGCCATGGCGGAACCTTGCTCATGGCAATAGCAGCCCCCTACCCCCACCACATGTCGCTCACATCTGTTGTTGTATCAAAAGGGAGTAACAAGTGTTAACATAGATAAGTATAACCACCCTCCACAACGATATTTCAATATAGTAAGGGTGTATAAGTGTATTTCTAATGTACGATGGTTGCAAGTGTATTTAGATTCAAGTGTTTGTGTGAGCGTGTATATGAGTGGTGTGCAATTTGCTGCGTATGTGTTGTCTAATGGTAGACCCTGCTGCCATTTTGCATCATAAAATTTGTGACCAAGTCCCAGGTTGCTGATCTGACTGACTGCCTCATTTCCAAACAATTACAGGGTCTCAATTGTTTCTTTTACTTTGACAACACAAGATATATGCTGTATCGTTTCTCTCTCTTTATTTATTTTATTTTTTTTTTCAATTTCTGTATTTATTTTTGGTTCAATTTATTTATTCCCCCCAGGCCCCGATGTGGGTCGGTGATCTATCAAATAATGTAAATTATGATTGGGCAAATTGTTTCGTGAATTTATCAAACAAAACAATGACATCCTTTCCCAGTCTATTGCGAAATGGAAGTATCAGAGCTCGATTGTTGATTTGCTTGGGTGCTTGTTTGTGTGTTAGGGGCAATGGCTGGACAACGACCCGCCGTCCAGAAAGGGTAAGGCGAACTTTACACTCTCCACCTTGACTGTATCACGAACTTCGGTTCGGGACTGTACTTACATTACTTGGTAATACATAGTATGTAGCAAATTCCACAAATTGTGTAATTCATTATTTCTTTGTGGTGTATTCATAAACCTACCATAAGACTGGCTTCATACAGAGGGCGTGCAGTGGGGGGACCAATACGGCAGCCGAGGCTTCTAGGCCAATCTAGGGAGTGAACGACCCCTACCGACTTTTCCAGGCGAGTGTTGCTGACTCGGCAAATTAAGCCTGCCGCCCGCCCTCCCTTAATGACTCTGATCCATTCAATATCGCGTTTGGAAACTTAAAAAACGCTACCGGTCTTGCAGCGGCTGTGTACGGGGCGAGGATGCCACATAACGCAATATCAGTGAAAAAAATGAGGTTCTTTGCCCTATGCACACACACACTAACTCAGTGCAAGTGGCGAGTTTGCCACCTAGCACAATATGAATGCAAGTAATTTCAATATGATTTCTGATAGCTGTTCCTACATACCATCAGGCAAATAACAAACTTGACACACAGGTGCAAATATCAGGTTACTACATTACGTCATGTTAAGTACTACAGTATAAGTGAATATGGATTTGCCTGGTTACCGCATTTTGTTGGGATATTGTCATCTTAATTTAGGAGAGGAGTTGAATTTGCTACATCAAAGAAAGGGCAGGGTTGCTTCATCAGAAGAATAAAACCGTTAAGAAGTTTCGACTGGGTTTAGAACTGCTGGAACAAAGTAGAACATTTTTGTCTTCGTGTAGTTATGACCTCCAGCACTTCGCTCACCCCAATTTTTAATCACACAGCTAGCTGAATCGGAGGTAGAGTTGAGTGACTACGTGCGTCCTGCGTGCTTGGGATCTCATTCAGCTGTTTCTCAACTCAACAAACGTCGCTGTCGCAGTTTAGGCTGGGGTGCCAGGCGTAAGTATTATACATTATTCGATTCATTGCTACTCAGGTCCTATCCAAATTGACATACAGTATGTGGGTTGAGACAAACCCCGTACAAACTGATTGCTCCTACACAGCACCAAGACTATTAGATGTGTCCAAGATAACAGAATCTATCTCTAAAAACTTAGTTGAAAAAAAAATATATATATATGTTAAATGATATGGAGTCACTATTTCCACCATATATATATGGTGATAATAGTCTGAGATGCTATTTTCACCCTTTGATTGTTATGATATAGTATCAAGTGTAGTTAATACAGTATTCGTTTAATGGCTGTGGCAAGATTTAAAAAAAATATATATATATATATATATATATTTCCTTCCGTGGAAAAATTAGCATTAACGGAAATATGAGTAAAAACGTTATCGGAAATAAACCAGATCAATTGGTTAGGTTAGGTTTCAACATTGATTTAGAAGTTGAAATTGTTGTGGGATTAGTTTTGTGTGATTTTAGGCGTGTTGTATTCAAATCTGACCTTCATTTCTTGTGCAAATTAGTGAATTAAAACAACAAAATTATATATATTTTTTTACAAAACTCACTCATTTGCCCCAAATAAACCTATACTCGTGACAAGGAGCCACAGCCATTAAACGAATATACCTCAAGTGCTATTTTTACAGTGTGCTGGTTTTACAGTAATATTTTCGATCCTATCCTATAATTATCGTACATTTATAGCCAGAGAAGCTTATTTACCACAGACAAATATATAAATCACCTGGAGATTAGTTCCCATCCTCAAGTTAAGTTATGCATGAGTAGAATCATTTAATTAGGTTAAGTTAGTGCAATAAGGTAAAATATGCAGGGATGCCTGAACTTAAGGTGATCCAAATATACATTGATATTTAATCGTATGGTGAAAATAGCGTCTCGGGTTATAATCACTCCTAAGGTGAAAAATAGAGACGTCCCAAATAATATCACTAGGACTTATAATTAACGTGCTTGTAATAATTCATCATTATTGTATCACTGGCACACAGGTGACCCACTTGTAGAACTGTCAGTGAGTGTGACTGGTGGGGAAGTGTGCCACCGACTGGACGGCTCCAGAGAAAATACCATCTGCGCCCAACAAACAGCACCTACAGACAGATGCCTCGTGAGTTTAAGCCATTTGCATTGTTATAATGTCGCGAGTTTCATGGAAGCCAATTAGTACAAAATAAAAATTAAAACCTTTCCCTTTAACTGCTTTATGAATTGTAAGTGTCTGCGTCCTAAGATTGTAAGTAAGATTGTCATTCAGATTTAACTGCTACCTAGTTCAAGATAAGGCCAGGCCAAG